ATGCTAATATGTTTGATTGACACATTTTGTTTTTGAAACCGTTTCTGTAACGACAAAAGTATTTCAATTCCATGTGTTTAGCAACTTTAGAGTACTTGTCGTTCTTTGACAAAAAGATCGCTGTAGAATTGTCACAATAAAGTTTCAGCGGCTTGACTATACTGTCGAAGTTCCAAGCCTCGAAATAAAGTTTTGTAGCCAATTTCCTTGAACCATAGCCTCAAAGCATGCCACACAACCCAGCTTCCATAGTGGATGCAACAATGACCAACTGTTTTTGCACTTTTTCATGATATAGCCCCTCCAACCAAGAGGAACAGATAGCCAAACGTAGACTTTCTAATAGCTACACATCCAACAAAGTCTGAATCTGAGTACTCAATGACTTTCAAGTTATCAGATATCCTATAAGTGAGCATGTGGTATTTCGTTTTTTGTAAGTATCTCAATACTTTATTTGCAACTTTTCAATAATCAAGTCTCGAGTTACTTTGATACTTGATCAGCATTCCGACAGCAAAAATAATGTCTGGTCTAGTACAAGTCTGAGCATACATTAAGTTTCCAACAAGAGATGAATAAAGAATAGTTGCCATTTGTCTATGTTCCAATTCGTTCTAAGGACATTGCATGAGACTAAATTTGTCTCCCTTTTGAATTTGAATGACGCTCGTTGAATAATTTTCCATTTTAAATATCTCTAAAACTTTATTGATATATGCTTTCTGAAACAACCCTAACACTCTGTGTGATTTATATCAGAATATTTCAATTTCAATCACATATGTTGCCTCTCCGATATTTTTCATTTCAAAATTTTTATAGAGAAATTTCTTAATCTGTGTAATAGACTAAGATTATTAGTCGCTAGCAAGATGTCATCAACATACAAAATAAAAAATATAAACATAACAATGCTAATTTAATTTTACTTAATTTATAATTAAATATACTCTAACCAGACATGTCTGTTATCCTTGGATATACAAAACATATCTAGTTAAGTATATTAATTAACCACGATATGTTCACGATTAATAAAATTAACTGATCAACCTCTGAGCGATCCATAACAATTTTATAATCTATGAACGTCAATATACTCTTAACAATAATAATTCTAAAGTCATATTTATTTATAAACATCAAACTATCAAGAGTAATTGATAAATAAATAAATTATGCAATTTAATGTTCGCAATACCAAAAAGTTTGACCAGTTTGATGACTAACAAACAATATTAATCGAATATCAATTACATAAACAAAATATATATCATTTAATGTTTCTAATTATTATCTAGTCTATTAATAGATTTACATACATATAATTAGCCATAAAACACATAATAAACTAATTAATGGCAGTCATCGAACGGCATAATACAATTAATTATTCACTAAATTATACATATATTTGGCCCCAGATATTTTTAACAATGAATTTGGCACCCAACTTACAATAATTACAAAAATAATTTATGCACCCAATTATTATGATAATTAAAAGGTTAAACCCCAACCTTAAGGGTCCCCCACCACACCCGCCCTAGAGCATCGTGAAGGAGGTAAATCGCAGGTTATGCCTTCAAGGGTACAGAGTGGAAGGCTGCTTGTACACTTACACTTACCCAAAAGTCAAATCCATATTTCAGGAATCGAACCATTGACAATTATTATGATAATTGCAACCACTAATAGAAGTCCACGCCTTTTCATCAGGCCAAGCTTTAATTATTATCTTTATTTATTTTGATGCACCTACTAATCCAAGAAAAGTGGCATACTTTGAAGATGCAACACGTAATAGCAGTATATTAAAATGAGGCAGAATGATGAGAAAGTGGACGTTAATGAAGTCCAAATCTAATCATATATTTACCTACGCTATAGAGAAATCTGTTGACCCATATTATTGATTTCAACACATAAAATTAAATAATAATAATTTTACATACCAAGCCTTTGTTTGAACCTTATTTTGAGAGAAAGAATATACTTTGAATGGTAGATTGATATTGAATATATGATTAAAAATTAACGAAAAATTTTGAATTTGCATTTAATATTATTTTATTCAAAAATATGTCGTTAAAAATGAATTGTGAAAAAATGAATTTTTAGAAGAATGTGGCTCAAACAAGGGTTACTTTACCTTAATTCATAAATTAATTAGAAAAATTAAGGACCGATAAATGAAAAACAACAGTCTTTAAAGAAAAATCAAGAATTCTGTAACTTGAATCTGATACCACATGTAAGCAATTAAATCATAATATCAAGATATTTAGAATTAATAACTTTCACATATATATTTAATTGATCAGGAAACATACTTTGATCCACGGTAATAATTGAATAATTTAAATATGCAAAATAGAAACTAGTAAGATAAATAAACTATTCTCTTCTTTTACCTCTCTGTAATTGAACGTTCAATTCAATAGGTTTCATTCCCATTTATAGGTAGAGAGAGACACTCTCAGAGGCCATAAAAATAACTACCTATTTTCTATAAAAGGGACAGTTATAAATTTGCCACTTCCCAACGGATCAGTTAAATTTTTAGAAATATAAACCACTATGATTAATTCTTTTATAATATTACATGGACAACAATTAATTGGTTTTACAAGTAATATAAAATTATAGTGATCGCATAATTCAATATGCCATTGTTTTCCATTATTTCAAATTATAATAAAATGAATAGTAATTTTTTAAAGAATGTATAGTTAAAAAGAATGGAGATATTTTTAAATATATGTATAATATTATTTTATTAAAAATGGGTGGTTGATAAAAAAAAAGAAAAAATAAAAAATTAAATTTTAATTTAATGACGACATGTACATATCGACACACTAAAAACTCTCTCTCTCTCTCTATCTCTCTCCCTCTCCCCTCGTCTCCATCACCAACTGTTTCACCGATAATTATGTCCATTTTTGAAACCTTTTCTGCGGGTTGTTTTTTTGCGTTCTTGTTTTCACTAAAATCATTTTAGTGAACTCATTTATTGCCGAAATTGTTGACTTGCTACTGGGCATGTAAGTAGATAATGATGCTACTTCATAAACCCTTTTTGGTATCGTCTCTGTTATTGTGAATTCTAGATATTGTAAAGTGAATTTTTATATTTCACAGCTAGTTCATATGAAATTATTCTTCTGTTGAGTGTCTTTATCTTCATTGTTGATTTTGTATTTGATATCAATAGCTTCTTGGGGATTTCTTAGTCTGTTCATTGAAGGTTTAGATTGGTTTTTTGTAGTTGGTTTATTCTTCGAGCTTGATTTTGGTTTATGTTGATATTTGTATAGGAGATTTCTTAGTCCGAAAAGTACAAAAAATGCACAGCAATATTGAAAATGGTATTTTCTTGAATTTTATGAGTTATGGGTTTGGATTTTTTTTTTCCTCCCAGCATAATTTTTATTTTTTTTTATTTTTTATGAATTTTTGTGTTTAGGAAAGCTATTCTCATTTGCATAGTAGATGTTTGAATGTTTGATGCTGTGATCTTCGCTC